GACAAAGTGAGAATCTTGAAAGCAGCAAGAGAAATGATTCACCACATACAAACCCCACACTGAAACATGATTGCCCAGAAGCCTACTTTTGGACACAATCTAGGTAGAATGTGATGTAACAATCATTTGTCCATCATCAGCAGTGTCACCCCATAGATGAAGTCAAGATGGATGATGAAGAAATCTTTCAAGCCTTTCAGATTCTCTCTCCACTCCTTAATGTCTCTTATTTGGGGCCTCATCTTGGTCCCCACCGCCTTGTGAGTCAGGACTGGGAAGGGACAGAGGGACTATTGCGAACAGTGAGGGGAGTCTGTGAAAACAACATCACTAGGGATCTGACACAATAATGACTGCCTGCCCTCTGTGGGCTACAGGACTTGCCCAGTTGGCAAACAGCTAAGCAGTAAGTAACTGATGGATTTAGATTGAATAGTATTGGTTCTAAGCATAGAGTTACATATAACATTTCCCTTAAAAATAAGTTCCTAATCTTGAAGTATATAATATTGGAGATTAGGCATGTTTCTTTGATTCATGATTTTAGACCTAGATAGATACACATTTATTATTTTATATTGTACTTTATATCTAAATACACAACTATATATTTGATATTGTACGTATCTTTATCTCTTATCAAAGATAATTTAATTGGTAATGAGGAAAACTTAGAGATAAATTCTTTTCTGACATTCTAACCCAGGAGACTGTCATTTGTTCAGCTGACATTTATTAAACACCTATTATGCACAGACATTGTGCTAGATGCTGGATATAGTGACAAGAGACCAAATGTCCCTTTAGGGACAGAGGAACATATGCTCAGTCTGAACTTGGAGGAGTATCAGGAGAGGCTGCCTAGAGGGAGTTACTCCTCATGCGAGTCTCGGTCAGCTAGGTGAAGTGAAGTGAGTGTAGGCAAAGCTATCTGGTGAGAACAGCACAGAATAGAACTAAGAAAGACTTTCATGCTTGAGGAATGCCATATGGCCAAAGTATAGGCATCAGGGGAGGGGGCTGAAATATAAGTCTAAACTGGTGTGTAGGGGCAGATCACGATTGTCTCGGCATGCCACCTACGAAGATTTCAAATGACACAAAATAGTAATTATAATAATTCTTATTTCCTGTTGATTGAACACTTGCTATGTGCCAGGCACTGTGCTAGGCACTCAACATACCCAATTTTTTCTTCACAGGATCCCTATGTGGTAAGTACTGCCTCATATGGATAAAGTACATCCCTATGGGAAAAGAATTCCACAAAGAGCCTGGGAAAGAACAGTCAGGGAAGCGGGAGGAGAACAGGATGAGCTGGTGTCGTAGAAGTCAAGGGGGTAGGAGTTTTAAAAAGGATTTATGTCAAATGCTGCCAAGAGGTCAGTGAGGATAAAAAACCAAACTAGCAGGTCACTGGTGATCTTAACAGGTACAGTTTTAGTGGAATAGGAGGCAAAAGACAGATTGCTATAGGACAGAGGGGGCAACACAGAAATGGTGATAGTGATTGTTAGTTGCTCTTTGAGAAGACTATTCAAGGAGAAGGCTACAACTAGGTAGAGGGAATTAGAGGATTCTGTTCCTAGTTGATTGGTTGGTTGGTTGTTTTTAAAAATATAGAAACTTGAGTGTGTTTGTGTGCTGAGAGGCCACAATGAGCAGAGAGAGAGAGGTAGAAGGCCCATGAGTGAGGGATTGCTGATGAAACAGTTGTGAGGAGATGGGGAGAGGGCCTGGCCTGGTCTAGGAGCCCAGATAAATGGACATGCATGCCATGAGGGTGAACTGGAAGCTGTAAAAGTTTCAGCCCATGGGCCTCTGTTTTCTCCACAAATAGGAACCCAGATCCTCTGAGAACAAGAAGAAATCCCTGAATATTTGACTTGTAATACATTTATTTCTATAATACATTTCTTCAACAAGTGCCATAAACAGATTTCTCCTGCAGCTGCCCAAGTGGGACATTAGATTTAGGGGGAAAATCGTTTATGGTGATCCTGTGGTGCTTATTGACCTACAACTTGTAGTTTTTTCTATTCCCAAGTGACTCTGTGGACTGAGCCAGCTGCTCCCAACTGACTTCTCCACTCAGCTCTGTGGTTCTCTCCCGGTCATCATGAATGCAGGCACTCTGGTCTTGGTGGAGAGTGGTCCAAAAAGGAAAGCCTGCTAACCACAATAACGGTGACAGACCTGCAGAAGGTGTGAGGCCATAAAGAGAGCCTGAAAATAACTGCTTGGGATAAACTGGACAGTGTAAATGTAGAACTGGGCGATAATCAGTGTCTATGGCAAAAGGAATTTATTAAACTGCTTCAGAGAGTTCTCTAGATAGTGCAAACATTGCTCACGGAGTAAGAAATAAAGCCTAAGTGTGATTTGTGAAGGTGGTTATTTTCAGTGTTGGAATATGTCCAGGAAACACTTCAGAAAGAAGTCAAAAGCCTGCACAAATGCTTCCTTTCCAAACTGGGGCCAGACAGATCTCACATATGAACAGGGACTTTTAAAAATCTTTTGTTTGTTGAAAATATATAGTTATTTTCTTTAGTAATAACTTTCAAAGTTTTTAAATTTGCTGTTAATGTGGGTGTCTATATATTTTCTTTCAGCAGTAGAGTTGTATGAGAGAGTTTCATTTAAAATTAGTGACAAAGTTACTAAATATCATTGTTACCAATAGGCCCAGTGCTTGATACACACAAACCATTATAATGAAAGTATGAGCCTGAGGCTTGATGGTGTTTACAAGCACTATTGCTTGCCCACATAACACACTTCTAAACATGACTTTTCAGCAGTCTTGACCCAGGTTTTGAACTTATTAAGTCTCGATTTTCTCAGCTATAAAATGTGGTTAATCAAGGTAGTATTCTGTCTCACAGTGTGGTTGAAAGCATTGAACAGGCATGGTAGGTAAAGTGCTCAACATGAAAGGGCTGAATAAATGAGCAAGTAGTAATTGTTATTACCGATATTATCATTAGAAAGCTGATTGTTATCAACAGCTATCCTGCAACTCTAGTTGACCCTGAGGCTTTGCTCATAGAATTACTTAAGGGTCTGCTTGTTGAGGGTCTGCTGTGTGTTCTCACAGCGGAAAGAAATGTGGGGACTTGAAGAATGAGGCACTTCCTCCCACCTTAAGATACTAACAGTTACTCAAATAGTAAGACTAAGACAAATAAACATAATACAACAGAAAATCCAAGTTCCAAAATTCAATGAAATTCAGTTCAGTTCAATTACCTTCTATATGCACAGCTTTATATAAGATGCCAGGTCACAGGAATGGCAGCAAGGCTTGTCCACATCTAACTTCGACCAAGCATGACAAGTAAACAACGGAGTGTGCAGACAGGTAGCATGTAGGAGGTGGTGGTGGTGATGGACTTTGTCTGGAGCACCCAAGTAGCTTTCAGAGAGGAAAGATGAGCAGGAACTTAAGCCCACAACCAGGGAGAAAGGTAATCTCGACAGAGGATATAGAACGTGCCCTGGTGTAGAGGCAGAAAACCGCAGGTCATGTCCAGAGAACTGAATATAGCTCATTATTACTGAATCTTAGATCTGGAGTTGAGTGAAGACTGGGAGGAAAAAAGAGAGACAAGCAGGAGTTAGTTGCAGATGGCCTACCAAAGCGTTTGAATTTGGGCTCTAGGGTCTTTGAAGGTTTGTGAGGAGGTGTGGTGTGATGGGATAGTGTTTAGAAACACACCTGGGGTGACAGTGTAGGGGCAGATGGGAGGGTAAGATCAATACCAGAGAGATCAGTCAGGCTGCTACAGGCATCCTGGTCTGAACGGGCCATGGCCAAGGAGGTGGAGCAGGGGCGGAGTTTCAAGAAATGTTACAGCTCTTGACTGGGGGCACTCGATGACTGGATACAGTCTGGTGAGGGAGAGGAGGGTGTCGAGGAGGAGCTCCGGGTTCTGTTTGCATGACCAGGTGGATGGTGAGGCCACCAGCTGCCCACAGTGTAGTCACCATCTCTTCACCACACACACACACACACACACACACACACACACACACACACACACACACACATCAGCTGCATGTCTTTTCTTCTGCCGCACTTTCTGCCCCAAGGTCAGAAAATAGACAAAGGAGAAAGCCCGGAAGTCTCCTGAAGGGGCTCGTGTTGCTCCACAGTGGGGTGCTTGGCGAGGCCCACAGAGTGAGGTCAGATCCTGGCAGCTGCTTCCGGAAAGCTCAAAATAGACATCAATGTCCTTACCATGTGTACTCACTCCTTGTCTCCCCAGCGTGTAAACCACTTTCCCATGCCCAGACCTTCCGGTCATCCTTTGACCTACCTTTGTAGTTATTGGAATTTTGTAGACAGTTCTGATAACTGACATCTCAGATATACGGTAATTTGGAGATTTCTCATTCTCCCTCCCTCTCTCCTCCCCTCCTTCCCTCCCTCCCTCTCTTCCTCCCTCTTCCTTCCCTAAAGCCACCTTTATACCTGTGAGTTCTGAAGCAGCCTGATCTGGTCTGGTTCCCTCTTCACTGCGTGATGGACAGCTTTGTGATTGAATGCGTGCGTGTATGCATGTGTGTGTGCGGGTGTGTGTGT